AATTTTCTGCTTATTTTTCAGTAGGGTGTGTTGAGTTGGATTTCCTGGATATATTGATGTGCATTTTAGGATGTTTAATTCTTGTTTTTGTAAGCTGCTTTGAGTTAACCTTTCTGGAAAAAAGCAACCAAATAAGAATAGTAGCAAGTATTATTACACCGCCTGGAGATGCCAGGGACTGAAACTGGGACCTTCTGCACCCAAGGCAGCTGTTCCACTGCACCCCAGATGACTAGTGTGGCTCTCCAGCTTTGGCCTATGAAGTGTTGGCTTCCTCTGGGCTGCTTTAATGAACTGCGCTGTTTTACTGTGATGCTTTAACTTCCCCCTTCCCTTCACCAGATTATAAATTCCCCTGCAGGCCTGCTGGGTCAAAAGGCAAGGTAAAAATATTTCAGTAACTAAAAGGGAGAGGAGAGACAGAGTGTACCTACAGATAAAATCCAAGAACATCTTGGGAAATGACATAACTCGCCTACGAGGCACTGCAAGCGATCTAGTTCCTTGAGGCTACAATCTGGACATACTTGTGAGGGGAGCAAGCTTCACTGAACGATCAGGCCTTACTCCTGAAAAAGGATGTTTAGGATTGCCCTGTGAGTCACTCATGTGCTTCAGTGGTTGTCAGAGGGGGCTTAGGCTTTTGCGAGTCGAGTGGGAAGAGATGAGGAAACTGGAGTTATTTTGAGTGAAAGAGGGAGGTGTTTTTCCTGGAATAAGTCCAGTCACCATTCCAGAGAGACGGCTGCCGAACCATGCTCTGGATTTTATTTATAGCATTGCTCAGCTCCACCGCGCCTCGGAACAAGGCATAAGCATTTCCATTCAGGATCCAGCTTTCTCGCATGGATGGAGGCAGGAAACACAGAGAGCGAGCCTTGCTGGGAAAACAGGCCTCCCTCCTATTCCTCCAACTGGGGAAGTGCCATAGCTCAGTGGAAGAGCACAGGCTGTGCGTGCATGCAGTCCCCAGTTCAATTCTCAGTAACGGCTGGCAAAGACTCAAGGCTGGGAAAGAATGCAATACTTGTATTTATGGGTGGCTTCAACTATCCATATTCAGTCACAAAAAAGAAGGGCGGCAACCCTGGAACGCGTCTTTGGTGGCGCCCAGGACCAGATGCAAGACATCAAATTTTAAACTAAATATACATGTAAATGACCAAAAGCCAAGAATATCCAGCATGGCCACCTTTGCCTTCAAAAGAGGAAACTCTCCCCAAATGAAGGGATTGTTAAAAAGGAAGTTGAAAGGCAAAGGCAAGAGCAGGGGTCAGCAAACTTTTTCAGCAGGGGGCCGGTCCACTGTCCCTCAGACCTTGTGGGGGGCCGGACTATATTTTTTGGGGGGAAATATGAACAAATTCCTATGCCCCACAAATAACCCAGAGATGCATTTTAAATAAAGTGAGATGAGCGCCGCAACCCCAGAGTCAGTCACGACCAGACCTAATGGTCAGGGGTCCCTTTACCCTTTTTCCTTAGAGGAACGAAGGCTTCCTTTCAAAAAATGGAAGTTTTGTCTAAATGGAGAGAACAGAAAGGAACACAAAAACTGCTCCCTCCATGCAAAAAGAAAAATCCCACAAGCTGACTGTAAGGGTGATCCACACTCATCTTTCCTCGGCTCTTTCCTGGTGCTCTGTGTCCAAGCACTTTCTGGGTTCAGAAATTTCCCTGCAACCATCCATTCGAGAACATTGCCCAGGAAGGAGAGAATGGCAACTGGCTGTTCGTTACTTAAGATTTTTCAAATCCAGGGAGGGTTTCTTGAGGAGAGGTTTTACCACTGCCTCCATCAAGCAGTCAGGGACCGCCCCTCTCACAAGGAGGCATTGATCACCTCCCTGGCCCGGTCAGCTGTCCCCTCCCTGCTCGTCTTTATCCGCTAAGGGGGCAAGGGTCCAGAGCACAAGTGGTTGCCCTGACTGATTCAAGCACCTTGTCTGCATCCTCAAGCCTTACCAACTCATCTAACACAACAGGACTGGAAAGTGCTTGGGCACCTTTCAATATTCATCTGATACAAAAGTGGACTCAAGATCACGGTGGATGCAAGCAATTTTATCCTCAAAATGCTTTGCAAGAAGTCACAGCGAGCTACCATTGGGTCTGCCACCTCTTTCAGGCCAGACTATGAAAGGCCCTTCACTACTCAGAAAAGCTCTGCCAGATGGCACAATTAGGATGCAATGGAGGTAGCAAAGTATGCCTTCTTTGCTGCCTTCACTGCCACTAGGAAGGCTCAATGATGAGCCCTCACCAGTGTTTGGTTGCATTCAGCCGGATCTTCCTCCACTTGTGTCCAAGCGGTTTCCCAGCTTGTTTCCTCACCCTAAGCTCTGGAGCCAAGAGAGATCCACAAAGCAAGAAAGGGAGCTAAGAGGTGATCGTGTCAATGGCCCAAGCCATTCGGACACTCCAGAAGTTGGCTAGGGCTTCGACAGGAGTGCCACCCATATCAGCTGGAAAATCCTCCATCAGCCTTCAGGGGCGGATCATACTAATAGGTCCCCTTCCTCTGCAAGAGGCGAAAAGGTGCTGAAAGCCCAAACTTCAACAGGAAGTGATCTGGCCATGACAAGCCACTGGTGTCAATGTCCCCCACTTTTAAATCACCCTCTTTCTGCCCAGCCAAGAAAACAAGGTTCAGAATGTGACCTGCCACACATATTGGGCTGGCAAAATGTTGGTACAGCCTCATGCTCATAGGACTAGGAGAAACCTCTGCCTGAATCCCTAGAGTGCTGCTGCCGTTCAGTGCAGAGAGAGCTCTGAGCTGGGTGGGCAAATGGTCCGACTCTGTACAAGGCAGCTTCTACTCTCCCAGATGGCCCTTTGGTCAGATCCAGCAGGGTTCTCTTCTTATGAGAGGTGGGTGTTTCTAACAGAGTGAGATGCAGATGACTCAGTAAGGAGGAAATGGGTTGCTGGGGATGGCTCTGGAGACTGGTGCTAACATTTCCTCTGCAGAGTGCAAAAGAAGAACATTTCCTTTCAGTGGGTTTCTGAGAGTGAGGTCTCTATGGTCTGGCAATGAAATATCATAAACCTGATGGGAAAACAAAACTGCTTTCCTTCTCCAATTCTACCCCAAGGACTTTTTTTAACCAGCAATTAGAAACATATTTTACACTCCTTCATTACTCTATCTGGATATTTCCACTAGTTTATTTGGCTAATGAACTGGGGGGGGGGGGGACAAAAAACAAAAACCCAAAACCTTTGGATCAACTAAGAAAGTTCCCTGATGATGATGAATTAGTTGCTTTGTTTCCCACAGCAACTCAAAGCAACTTACAACATTTTAAGCAAAAAACACATACATTAAAACCAACATTAAAAAACCCTACATTAAAACATCATGTCCACCAACATATGCATCATCTAAAAACAAAAGTAAGGTGGTTTTAAAATATTTAGAACGATGCCATTTTTTTTACTTGTAAACTCACAGAAATTTGGGTTGCAATTGCAGTCCCACTTCCCAAGGGAGTAAGGCCCCACTCTACTGGGGCTTACTCTTCAGCAGCTGTGCATAGGACATCAGGTTGGGTTATTGCATTTAAAAACTTATATGATTATTTATAAACAGCTGGCAATTGGATTTAATTGATTCATAAATGATAAAAACAATTACTCTTATGTCCAATGTCTCCTGAAAACACACTTTGTCCATGAAGTCTTTGGCACAACCTTCAGATCCAGAAGCTACACCTACACACACCAACACACACAATCTGCAATTGTTTTAACTGTTTTTATACATGTAACTGCTTTATATGTGTTTTTATATTGTAAATTGCTTCAGGGTGCCTCACGGGAACCAATTCATAAATGAAATAAATAATCATTAACCACTGGTAGCTAATAGCCACCCACAGACGAAACCTCCATGAATTTGCTTCTACAACTGCAGGGGGGGTGTTCATAAGATTTACCAGTAAAATGAATTCAACACTTACAGTACAGCCACTCTTCTTTAGAGGTGGGGAGGAACTCACTACTTGGGGTGGGGGAGAAAGTACTTCAACTCTCAATTTTTTAGCATAGTGTTGTGTGTATTAGACAGGCAGCTATGCCCTTTCAGAGATACAAGTGCTGAGACAGAGAAGGAATTAAAATTTAATCTTATTGATTTTTACAGACACGGTCCCAAGAGCCAATAGACATTGCTGCATCACACTGGGTTTTTTCTCCCCCCCCCCTTTTTTTTTAAAGCATTTTTTAAAAGCCAGCAGGCAATAAGGCCTGGAAAGAGACACTTGGAGCTTCTCTGCCGCCAACTGTCACCCTCTCCCGGCCTACCTCTCCACCGGAGGATTTGGGGAAGGGGGAGACCTTAAAGGATCCAGATGCTGCGCCTTAATTGATCCTTTCAAGAGAGAGGCTTTGCCTTTTCTTGATGCAGCACAAGCCGTGAAAGGGAAAACGCTGCAGTGGGTGTCCTTACATGAACTCTCCCTCTCCCGCGAGAAAGAGAGCGCTGACGAGGAAAAGACAGAGAGAAACGATGAGGTCAGCTCTCAAAAAAGGAAGCTCGCAGGCGGTTGCTCAAAGGCTCACTTGCATCTGAGAGAGAAAACACTGCAGTCTTTGTGGGCGGGTGAAAAAGCAGCCAGTCTCCAGGGGAAGTGCTGGTGCTGGTGCTGCTGCTGCTCTGCAATGCCCTGCAAGGCTAGCATTAAGAGAGACCTGCTTTTAGCAAGTTGGAGAGCCCAAGGGGGAGAGGAGAGAAGAGAGGTGCCAGACACACTAGATGGGTTGGCAGCGAAATAAAGGACTGCGGTTTCCTGTGGTGAGGGGCAGATAAGCCATCCAGGCTGTGCCCCACTCCCAGAGATAGCCAAGTGAGGAACAAGCTGTGCAAAACAGTAAACGCTACAGAATAAATTATGCAAGATAAAGAGAAATCTTTAACCGTGACCCATTCAAGGGGCCAGCTCTGGGTTGCCTGAGCAGAGAATTTCCCCCAAAGCATCAAGCACCTCAGGACTTACCCGATTCTCATCATAGATTATTTGTACCAGGCTGCGATGCTTGGACTCAATAGGCGGAGGGGAGATGGGCTTCTCTGGCTCCAGTGGCTTTGCTGCTTCCTCCTCCAGCTGCTGCTGTGGGATTTTGAAAAGGGAAGAGAGAAAAGTGTGAGCACTTGCATGTGGCCTTGCTGTGCTCACAGAGTCTGCCATTAAGGCTGGGGAACCTGCTGTGGTCTCTCCAGCTCCCAACAGACCCAGCCTCCATGTTCAGCGATGATAGGAAATTGAGCCCCACATCTGGAGAGCAAGAGGTTGCCCACCCTGGTCTAACTCCTCATCACTACTTGCACAATTGGTTGAAATTCCCTAGCACCCACAGATGCAATGATTTACACAAATGTGACACATACTAATTCTGGTTGGGGTGAGTCACATGCAAAACAGTTGGTTTTGAAGCAACTCTCACCTTTAGAATCATAGAATCATAGAATCATAGAGTTGGAAGAGACCACAAGGGCCATCGAGTTCAACCCCCTGCCAAGCAGGAAACACCATCAGAGCACTCCTGACATATGGTTGTCAAGCCTCTGCTTAAAGACCTCCAAAGAAGGAGACTCCACCACACTCCTTGGCAGCAAATTCCACTGTCGAACAGCTCTTACTGTCAGGAAGTTCTTCCTAATGTTTAGGTGGAATCTTCTTTCTTGTAGTTTGGATCCATTGCTCCGTGTCCGCTTCTCTGGAGCAGCAGAAAACAGCCTTTCTCCCTCCTCTATGTGACATCCTTTTATATATTTGAACATCATATCACCCCTTAACCTCCTCTTCTCCAGGCTAAACATGCCCAGCTCCCTTAGCCGTTCCTCATAAGGCATCATTTCCAGGCCTTTGACCATTTTGGTTGCCCTCCTCTGGACACGTTCCAGTTTGTCAGTGTCCTTCTTTAAGTTTCTAGCCCATATGATTTTCGTCAAGTGTAGATCTAGCCTTTTCTAAGCTATTGTGAACATGTCTGTTCCAATGTATAGAGTGTCAATTTGAAATTCTGGCTAGGATTCACTGGCAGGTTAAATTTTGAGAAAGAACAGATCAAGTCATTTCCCCCCACCCCACAATTACAGCCAATTCATCAGTCGCAGATTATTAAGAAAGTTCAGTTCACTCAGCCCTCACATTATTCCAATTGTGATAGAAGGGATTCTGGTCCAGCTTTCCTCCTCAGTACAATAGCCTGGTTCACACATTACACTAAACCATGGTTTGTTTAGTTTAACTATGATGTGCTTGAATGTGTGAATGCAGCGCAGCTGACTGGGATAGCTCAGTTGGTAAGAGCATGAGACTCTTAATCTCAGGGTTGTAGGTTTGAGCCCCACATTGGGCAGAAGATTCCTGCACTGAAGGGGGTTCAACTAGACGATCCTCTTGGTCCTTTCCAGCTCTACAATTCTATGATTCTGTGACTAACCATGGTTTGTTTTCCAACAACAAATCATGAAATGAAGCCAGAGTTTCTTGTTGGTTTATGAACCAGGGTTCTTTGAGCTAAGGTTTGATGTGAGACCTAACCCCAACAACCTTCCTGTACCATGGATCATTTGGCCACCCCACCCCAGATGCTCACCAAGCTACAGAAATAGGAGGCAACAGAAGCTGGTAAACCAAATTTTGAGAAACAAACCATAGCTTGTTTGCTTGCCTATGAGACAACACCTTGTTTGTTTGTTTGTTTGTTTGTTTGTTTGCTTGTTTGCTTGCTTGTTTTTTTAAAAAACAAAACCCCAATGATTGGACAATCCATGGCTCAGTGTTATGTGAGAAGGAAGCCAGACTGGTGCTATTAATAGCTGGAACAATAGTTACACCAAGCACACAGAGACAGCCCTCCCAAGCCTGCTTGGATTTTTTTGCCTGAGCATGGATGCTAAAAGGAGGGGGAAAGAGTTGAAGGCCAGAGGACCTTTCCAAGGGCTGCACACAGTCGAGCTGCAATGATACCTGGGCATTACCCGTTGGGGTTGGAAGGAGAGAAAGGACAAGGGGATCAGACACAAGCAATGGTCTGCCTGTCTACTTACCTCTTTCTGACATCTTGGAAACTCTGGCTGCATCAGGGTCTACTGAGCCAAGCTCCAGCATTGTAGAGCATGCCCAACAAAAGGCATTGTTGGATGAACTAGGCATTATGGAAGACATGCAGCTGCTCTTGAAAGAGGCTGCCCCACATCTCTCTGCCAACCTCCCTACTATTGCCTGGGGAACCTTTGGCCTCCCATCAATCCCAGCCAGTAGGGCGACCCCTGGGGTTGGTCCAGAAGCAGCAGCAGCTGCAGAACATGGCGGCTTGGCTACTTGCGGGGGGGACGGGACTACTGATAGCATATAACACTTTGCTTGCAGAATTTGCAATGGCTGCCAATCTGCTACAAGGCCAAGTTAAAAGTGTTGGTACTAACACATAATGCCCCATACCAATCGAGAATAATGGGAGTTATAGTCCAGCAATATCTGGAGGGCCAAAGGTTCCCCATCCTTGGTCTAGGAAAGCCAGATGTGTGGCATTGCAGAGCTCCAAGTTTCTTTAGTTCACTCATTGGCAGCAGCTGGTGGGAATAGGGAACCCTGGAGAACATCATCACACTGCGCCCAACTCCCACCAGATGCATCATTTCCCATGGCACCCAAATCCAGCCTTGGAAGGAACTACAGTGGTGCCTCGCAAGACGAAATTAATTCGTTCCGCAAGTTTTTCTTCTTGCGAGTTTTTCGTCTTGCGAAGCACGGTTTCCCATAGGAATGCATTGAAAATCAATCAATGCATTCCTATGGAAACCGCCTTCAGATCAGGTCCGGGGACAGTCTGTCCCCTGACCTCTTCTGAAGGCTGGGGGGGGGGGGACAAGGGCTTTTCTTCCCACCGCCAGCCTTCAGAAGGCTGTTCTGAAGGCTGGCGGTGGGAAGAAAAGCCCTTCTCCCCACCTCCCGCCCCGCAAGCTCCGGGGACAGGAGGGCTTTGCTGCCGACCGCCAGCATTTTAAAAGCCCCCGGGACAGCGGAGACTTCTCCGCTGTCCCAGGGCGATCTTAAAATGCTGGCGGGCGGCAGCGAAACCTTCGCTGCCGACCCCCAGCATTTTAAAAGCCCCCGGGACAGCGGAGGTCTTCTGAAGGCAGGCGGTGGGCGAAAGTCTTTGCTCCCCCCCCCCCCCGCCTGGCTTCAAAAGCCATCCGGGATAGCGGAGAAAGGCGCTGCGCTTCTCTGCTATCCCGGGAAGGCAGGCAGGGGGGAGCAAAGACTTTTGCCCCCCGCCGGCCTTCCTGGACCTCTTCTGAAGGCCGGAGGGGGGGCGAAAGGCTTTGCTCCCCACCGCCAGCATTTAAAAGAGGTCCCCGGAGATTTCCCTATGGGCTTTCTTCTTGCGAAGCAAGCCCATAGGGAAATTCGTCTTGCGGAATGACTAAAAAACGGAAAACTCTTTCGTCTTGCGAGTTTTTCGTTTTGCTAGGCGAACGCGAGGCACCACTCGTCTTGCGAGGCACCACTGTAGCCAATTCCCAAGAGCTGGAAATGGTCAGGAGGCCAAATCAGGCCCTGAGACAAGAGGCTTTTATACCACAGTTGAGCCCAGGAGCTTAATCTGAAAGGATCCCCCATAGGTATGTTACTGCTTTTTTGCAGAATATATGCTCCTTATTACCCAGGAGGACTCCTGTGTTGCAGACAAAATAAAATATCAGCAGCCACGTTTTATCCCAGAAAAGCATGTGCCTCGCTAGCTGTCCGCAAGAAGCAGGCAGCCAGCAACAGAAATGTCTCCTCAGCACCCTCTAAAAACAATAAAGCCTGGCCAAGCGAGCAGCCTCTGTTGGGATTTGCAGATAATGTAAAAGACAACAGAAAATAAAATAATGCAGGTCAATGTGGACATACAATATATTTTATTATAAAGGTCTAAAATGTTTGGGGGTGGGGGAGAGAAGCCAAGCTTGTGACCTTTATAATCAGAATGAGTCTTGGCAGTTTACCAGTTGCTCTTCCCACTCCCCAGCCAACAATTGCGTGCCATCTCTCCTTCCCTGCAAGAGAGAAACCCCCTGCTGCGGCTACTCAGGAGGGGGTGGCAGCATGACCCTGACTCTCCATCAATGCTGCAAATGTCCAGCCAGTCAGTTTCTAAGAGGAACTTTGAACCAATTTCTCATTTTAGTTGCAGACAAAAATATCACAGATGTTGGTCACGCACTTGGGAAGTTATAGCTCTTCTCCACTCAACACTCAAAAAAGGCCGCTTGGAGCATGGCTGTGTTGGAGAGCCTTTGGGCAAATCTGCATCAGCCCAGCCAGCATGGCCAATCACCAGGCACATCTGGAGGTGCACAGGGTTCCCCACCACTGAAGTACCGTGTTGTTCCCACCAACCTGGGACCTTGAGGGTTTGGGGCAATGAGGTCATTCCATTCACACAAGGACTTCCGTGTGTGCAACAGAATGCCCAGTACAGATTGGAGGGGGGCAGATGGGACGGAGAGTGGGGGGAGTTCTGTTGCACAAGCAGAAATTCTTGCATGGATGGGATGACTTTGTTGGATAAAACCCTGTGTGTCCCAGAAGATAGTATCTTGAGGTGCTAGATTGGACAGAAGTCAGAAAGTAGTGCAAGAGCCGAAAGATCCTGCTCCCTGCATTTATTTATTTTTCACTAGACCAGGTCAATCAAGAGATTCATTCTGCTCGCTAATCAGAAGGGTTGGTGCTGCAAACCACTAATGCCTTCTGCATCTGAAAAGGGCTGCAAGGTCTGAAACCAGACAATCCCTTAGACTAGTCCCCAGCCTTTGGACAGCAGGCTTCCATTTCAAGTCTTGTGAATTCCTTTACAAATTTGGTTTTAGGTACCAACATTCAAGATGAGTAGTTAGAACTCAAGAAGAACCAATGGGAGCTTATAAATATGGTAAAATGTGCAGAGGGAAAGCCCATGTGGGGAGGGAGGCTAAAGGAACCGGGCGACTTGCTGAAGACACTATATTAAAGGATAACACCTGTAAAGTTCTCAAATATTTAAGGAACCAGCACACATTTTAAACTGTGGAACTTGATCCTACAGGAGGCAGTGATTGCCACCAACTTGAATGGCTTGAAAAAGGACTGGTCAAATTCATGGAGGGCCAGTTTATCGGTGGCTACTAGCCACAATGGCTATGCTCTGCCTCTGTGGTCAGAGGCAGCAACACTTCTGGAAACCTCAAGATGGGAGAGTGCTTTTGTGCTCAGCTCCTGCCTAAGGGTCTCCCACAGTCATCTGGGTGTCCATTGTGAGGACAGGAAGCTGGACTAGACAGGCCACTGGCCTGGTTCTTCTTATGTTCTTAGATTCTTAATAAAGCAGGTTACACTGTAGTACAGTTTGTTCTGCAAGCTCTGCTATTCCACTCACCCACATGGATCACTACTTTATCATACAGTACATGGCAGCCCTCACTTGGAAGACCACTTTGAACAGCTTCCAAATTAAAAACATGGCTTCAGCCAAACTCCTGACATAGCTTTATGGAATGCACAGCTCTTGTGTGGGTAATGTTAGGAAAAGATCTGTCATAGAAGAAGCCACCTTCTCCAGTCTGTGCCTTCCAGATGTTTGTTGAACTACTATGCCCATCAGCCCAATGGTCAGCGATAATGGGAGTTGTAGTCCAGTCACATCTGAAGGGCGTCAGGCTGAGGACAGCTACTGTAGCATGTGGGCTAACCACCTAATTAAGATGTGGCTTTCCATTAACAGAAGGGGGTGGGGAGACAATGGTCAACAGACAAGACCTTCTGCAACATTCAAGTTGAAAATGTCTGGGCTGCAGACAGACTCTCCACATTGCAAGCTGTGGCAGTTTTGTTTCGTCTTCCATTTTCCACTTTTTGTTTCCATTTTTGGAAGTCTCAAGGATGTTGGCTTTGCTTGCATGGCCTAAAAATGTGACTCATTATTTCCTGGAGGCCTCCCAATGAGAGGGAGGGAGAAAATGCACTGAAATGCAAGGCCCATGTATACAACATGTTCCTGATGCTGCTGCAGATGGAGCTCCACCTCGCATGCATGGTTTGCTCCCTGCCTTTCTCCCTCCATTTAGCATCTCAAGAACCAGCAATAATCAAAATGTTCCTGGAAACACACACCCCTGTGCAGGAAGCATCTGTTGTGACTAATCATAAACAGCCCACTGCATTTGCCTGTGCCGTCCTTATGCAGTATGTTTGTGGGGGGTTGTAAAGAGCAGTATGGTTGTGATATGGGGTGGGTGGGTGTGCTCTGCTCCTGGAACTTATACAAATGCATCCATCAGACACATTTGCACAGGTCACTATTAATACTGAAGCACTCCCCCCCCCCCAAGACTCCTTTCAATGAAAATGCCTCCAAATCCAAATGTTTTATCTACTTGGATCTTTAAACTTGGCAACAGAATAAAACAAGGGAAGCGCCATACCTCTCTTTGCCTTCCCACTGCTGTCTTCCCTCCACCCACCCTCCCAAGATGGCAGTTCCAGATGTTGCAGTCACTCTATAGGGCCTGGTTGTGCAGCTGCTTCTGAAATCTTTTCCTCTCTTCAGCCCCTAAGCCCTTTCAATAGCGCTGTGACAGACAGCAACAGAAAGCAGGTGTCTGGGATTAATTAAACTTGTTTGGCTTGGGGGTGGGGAGGATTCTTCCACAGGCACAGAGAAGACAGCCTGCCTTTATGCGTATGACAAGTTCTTTGCTATCTAAAAACTAACCCTCTCAGCATACACATATGGAGAATCAATCTCCTGAAAATTAGGGCCATGTCTAATCAAGGTTCTCAGCTAAGCACTTGGGGGGCAAGAAGGCCCATCTCCAAAGCTCCCTCCCTCTATTTGCATCTGCTTGCCCACAGCTGTTTACCCCTCTAGGCAACTGCTTCGCTGCCGTTCTCTTGTTGTTCCTCACAGTGCAATTCCAGTCAATAAGGGAACATATTGCAAATGTGATGCCTCGCTGTCAAACCACCCAGTTAGAACTGGCGTTGTGTCAAAATCACTGGTGACAAACGAGGCTAATTCAGAGTGAGGGCAATGATCCCCATATCAAATTAACCTTCCTCGGAAGGTGCAGTGTCAGGCTCCCGTCCCAAAACACTGCAACAGTGACTCTTACTTGCAAAGGAGGTGGAGATCTTTATTCAGGCTACTGGTGGCACAGGCTCAGCAGCACGCACAAGGGCCAAAGTCATGATCCAAGGGACATGAGCAAGGCAAGAGGTTCACAACTGAACAGAAGCCACAATGACATCCCAACAGGGCAGGCTCACTCACACAGAATTCTCACACATACAATCCCACCTAAGAAGGTGGCACTGGGTTCTTGGTGACAAGACTGTCCCTTATGCCTCCAGCTGTGATGCTTCCTGTCAGAGGCTCCTTCCAGTCCTCACCCTTCCATAATGAGGCTCCACAGGAGGGACAGAGCCAGCAGATCTGCTTCCTCACAAGGAGAGGCCCTCACTCCTGCTTGAGTCCCCCATCAGCTCCTCCTTCCTCCTCCTGTGTCTGGGGCTGCCAAACCATGCCAGCTCCTGACAGAGCCAAGGGACCCATGACAGTTGGGGAGGGAATGGGGAAATGTTTGGCCTGAATATGACACATGCAATGGAGTTTAGGAAGGGAAATGCAGCTGGTATTGTGGTTGCTGCTGCCTTAAACATTACACACCACCCACTGTACTATACTAGTAGCATGCCTTTGCCGGGCAGAGCTGTGAACTCACGTGGCCGACTTTGGCTCAAATGTCTTAAAACCAGCTCATTTCTGTGGTTGGTTACACTCTGAAACACACTGAAATGCCAACTGTAACCTGATTAGAAAAGATGAGGTTCAGGGAAGCTATTTCAGTGACAGCAATTTTGGGGGGGAGGAATTACCTGTTTTTTCTTCAACTTGGAAATCTGCTGCTCGACCATGGTGATTTCACGGTCAACACGGTCCATGTTCTGGATCAGCTCCTCCTTAGACAGCCTGGATGGCAACAGATCCAGTTCAGAGTCAGGATGGACAGGGCTGGCTGGTGAAACCGGCTCCAGTTTTCCTGTTAGGCCCCGATCCTGCAAAGTTGAAAGGGGGAGAAAGGCAGATTAAGAAACATTCTTGTACTGCCATTAAAGATCTTGCTGAGGAATCCTCAAAGAAAGTTCTCAGGAATTCCCCGTTTGGCTGTCTGAACACACCAAGCATGTGCTTTGGTTGTATGAATGCAGGTGTGGTGTACCCCTCCCAGACATTCAACATTTCACATGTGTTTCTTTCAAGGTAGGCACTAGCTGCTTTCATAAGTCCTTCCCCCTCCTCTTCCTTTCCTCACACAGAGGACAGATGGCTGGGTGTGTAACCTTAAACCACTGAGGAGGCGCATGGCTGTCACTTTAGCAGCTGCCCCTCACAAAGAGGCCAACATCCAAGTTTGCTACCTTAATCACAGGCAGCCTCCCCAACCAGGGGAGCGGGGACGACAAAGCGACCATTGTTTGGTAGTACCAACTGGTGTTCCCTACACTCCTGGCAACTGGGAGGCCCCTTTGGGAGACATTCAGCCAAACCTAATAATGCATGTTCTTGCCAGTTAGCATGTGAAGGGGTTAAGACCACAGAGCTGAATTGCTGATAAGGAGATTCAGACCATAGAAATGTAATTGGTAGAGAAGGTTCTGTGTGATGTCATTTCCTCTCCTCTCCAGGGAGAAAGAAGTATTTCTTGTTCCTTCCACCTTCTCTCTCTTCAACCAACCATGGAAACAAACATCTGTCCACTTGTTCCAGCATCAGGCACAGGCCTTTTCAGTCTGTAACCTGTTTCCCTGAAAAACAGGGTCATAAAGGGAGAGTCCAGTCTAATGGCTAATTCCTATGCATTCGATTAAAATGTATGAGATTTAAACTTTGCTCAGCCCTGTGCTTTTCAAATGCAAGCGGTAAGCTGATCCTTTTCCCTGCTAACCTACATATGTGGGTCTGTAATGAGAGAAAATGTAGTTAACTATATACCTTCACCTACCCAATAAAACTCACCAGTTCCCTCCCCTTTTTTACTGGTGATTCACTCTATCTGGGCAGATGCCAGACTCTTTTCCTTGTCTTGAGATGACCAGCAGAGGAACATAGGAATCTGCCTTATACAGAGCCAGACCACCTGGCTCCACACTATCTACACTGCCTGGCAGCAAATCTAGAGTTTTTCCAGTCCTACCTGGATGCCTGGGGTTGAACTGGGGATCCTCAGTATGCAACGCAGGTGCTCTACCACTGAATTACACCAGGTGAGTTATTATATCACGTCTACAGGCCTGCAACCATCCACAAACACCGTCTCCTGCATTCAGCCTCGTCAACTTGTTATTTAGCTCTCTCAGTGGGCAAGACCTTCATTTTATACTCAGTTTAGAAGCATGAGAAGAGCTGATAAGATTGAAAACAAAAGGGCAACTCCCTTAAGTATGAACAGATTTACTGCCCAACAACCAAAACTGCCCAAAACCACTGATGACAACTCTCCACTCAAAGCAGATTGTGTTGATGGTGACAAGCATTGGAGCCACGCAAAATATTAAGTCTCCAGAAGATGCAAGACCACAGAGATGCATGCTAGTTCACTCACCTGCACCAAGGCTTCCTTCTTTTCACTTCCTAAGCCAACCTTCACCAGCCTAGGGCCCTCCACGTTTCAGACCAGATGTGGGGAACCTTTAGCCCTCCAGTTTTTGCTGAACTATCATTCCTAGCCATTGGCCACGCATACTGGGGCTGATGGGAGTTGTATTTCAACATCATCTGGTAATACAAAGGTTCCCCACATCTGTTTTAGACCACTAGTCTTCAACCAGTAGGTTGGAACCCACCTACCAGGTCACAGCCTGGTCTAAAGAGGGTCACAACTGCAGCACTACCACCATACAAATATATGGCTAAAAATCTGAAGAAGAAACTGTTCCCCAAATACATGTCTGGGTTATACATGGGCCCCAGGTCTGAAAAAGCTGAAGACTATTATTTTAGAGTAGAATTCCCATCCTTCGTGACCCCTGGCCATGCTGGTTGGGTCTAAAACATTTGGAGGGTACTAAGAGCTCAGTCAGCAGAGCACAAGACTCTTAATCCCAGGGTTGTGGGTTCAAGCCCCGGCTTGAGTGAATGATTCCTGAATTGCAGGGGTTTGGACTAGATGACCGTGGACCATTTCAGCTCCTCTATGTTTCTATGATCTCACGTTTTTGCTTCTGATCCTGCCCACCATTGATAGGTGCCCCTTCCCTGCCCAACATCCTGACAAAGCATTGTGAGTTGGAAACTGCCTTGTATTGATTAAGACCTTTGGTCCATCTCGCTCAGCACTGTCTACTCTGACTGGCAGCAGCTCTCCAGGGTTACAGTGAGGGGGCTCTCTCCCAGCCCTGCCACTGACCTTCTGCATGCACAGTGGCTGCTCCAGCACTGAGCTGTGGCTCTTCCCCCTCTTGGAAGAATCGGTCATTTCAGAAAAAAGCTGCAAAAAACCTAGCTCACTCTCCTGAGAGCATCTCCCTTTTCACTCTTTCCCATTAATTGTTCTCCGCAACAGCTGCTCGCAGCTCAGGGCAGTTTTATGAAAATCTGTCTCCCCTCCACCCCCTCCCCATCTCTGCACATATTGTGTAATTATACCAGTAATCCTAAAACTCCAAGGTACACTTACTGTTAACCAGGAATAAACATCAAATTGCGGGGAAAGGGAATAATTTCTGCCAAAACATCGTTGTGAGGAATGAAGCCACTGCTTTCCCACCCCACCCCCACCCCCAGGAAAATGCAATCCTTGGCATTTCCAGCTGCCAGACTTTGGGGCAGCAAGGAAAGAGAGAATGAAGAGCTGGGTGGCTAAGCTGTGGCTCTCAGTTTGCTGCCAGGCTCTGTCTCTCATCAGTCTCAGAGGACAGCCACCTGTCAGTAAGCACAGCCAAACAACAAGAGTGATGCGAGTTGTGGTCCAACATCTACTGCTATTACATAACTCTGGTGCTCTAAAGCAGTGTTTCCCAACCACTGTTCCGCGGCACACTAGTGTGCCGCGAGATGTTGCCTGGTGTGCCGCGGGAAAAATTAAAAAATTGAAAGATTTTTTTTTTAAAGTCAAATTTTCGATTGGGGCGCCGTCACTAGATGACCCCTGGGGTTCCCTCCCTCCCTCCCGCTCTGTGCCTCCCTCCTCCTCCTCCGGGGAGGCCCTTCCTGGCTCTCGGCCAAGGCTTGGCGGCTGCCACTCACTCACTCGCTCGCCCACCCGTCCCTCCATCCCTGCACCCGGCCTCTCCCCCTCCGTCCCCGGCGCGGGGGCTGCCGGGATCCGTAGTCCCCTCGCCCTTGGGCTCCGCGCCCGCGCGGGGTGCGCAAACTACGTTTCCCAGCGTGGCCTGGCGGGCCGGGCGTTTTGTTTGAAGCGCTCTTCTCCCATCCAGAAGGCCTTTTGCAGAAGGTCCCAGGTTCAATCCTCAGCATCTCCAGGTAGGGCTGGAACCCTATCCCAAACTGCCACTCTCCATAAGTTGTTGGATTCCAACATTCATCAACCACAGCCAGCATGTGCAATGGTCAGGGATCATAGGAGATGGAATTAAAAACATCTGGAGCGCACCAAGTCAGAGACAGCTGGTGTACATAATGCTGAGCTAGATCCTAATGGGCCAACGGTCGTATGCGGGATAAGGCTGCTTCTTGTGCTCACTCAAACCCCTTGCATTGTAATATGCTTCTTTCTTCATTAGATTTTTATTCCAGCGTCTTACAACAAATTCAAAACACCACACAAAATGAGTATGCCATTTTTCCAAAAGAAATATTCAAAAACAACAGCAAAAGCAACTTGAAAACAAAAGACACACAACAATATCTCCTTCACCTGGGAGTGAAATTTCCATTTCAGCCAGTTTCCTAAATGGAAGAATAGAGGTGCATGGCATTCCAAATGCACTACTTCTCCTAGTCAGCACCAGTCACACCTCAAACGGTTGTGGCGCTCTCAGTGCAACCTCCTCTGGCATTAATGCAGCTTTCCCCAACTGCCTAATGTCACTAGACTCCAACACCCATCATCCATGACTGCTAGACATTCTGGCTAGAGTTGTTGCAATCTGGAGTCCAACAACATCCAAAGGGTATTAAACCAACCAAAGGGGAGACAGGGGAGGCCATCTCCCAAAAGAGAAAGGCGAAATTCGTTAAGGAATTTTAGGAAAGTGACTTCATATGGGGGCTTCCCCAGACAACTTATTTATTGCACATTGATCCTGAGTTGCATGCACAAAGTTTACACAGAGGTTAGACTATGTCCTGACTTTACTGAGTGTTTGTTCTGAGTTGTTTGTGGGGAGGTTATATAGCAATGAACATTCATTCCATTTGCTTCCACAGTGGTTATATGCCTTCCCACTAATAAATCATTCAGCCCACACTTTACAGTGCACTTCACCAACACCTTTCTAACCACAAAAAGTTTACTTTTAAAAAAAGCAACCATGAGATTGGTTTCACCACGGCAACAGAGCAATTAATCCACTTTCATTGCACAAGCCTACTTTTCCTGTATGTGCTGTATCCTTCCACAAAATAGTGACAGGCTGGACACAGCCTGTTTGAGAAGCAATCCGTTCAGTAGCAGGCTCCATTGGCTCTCATGGCCAGCTTTAAAACAAAATTAATCTGGATAAGTATAACTAAGAGGGCAGCAGTCTCCTTAAAGAATTAGTCAGGCAGGCAGGCAGGTTTGAAATATATTAATCAACCAAACCTACACTTTAATAATAATAATTCAACACAGAACATGATACGCTCTTTATTTTCCCAAAGTTGTGCACAGGTGTGAGAAGATATGCCTATTTTAATAGGGCACCTGCCACCCACAATCTTTCTAAGGGCTCATCCACACTTCCTTTTGTGGCACAGGCACAGGTCCACGTTTTAAAGCTCTGTGTCTCAGCAAGTTTTCTTGTTTTTTGTTTCGTTTTGCCCCACCGCTCTCCCCAGGAAAACCCACATTTCACCACTGGATTGGAGCAAATGGCAATCCACAGAAAAAGAC